AGTGACTAAGGAAGAATAACTGTGACTATAGTGGGTTAGTTTCTTCCCAGCTGTGTTGCTCCACTAATTACATATTCCAAAGTAGTATTTTGAATTTATTTGTGCAAAATGCTGTTGAGAATGTGCGCTTCCTTTGTTTTATTTAACTTCTCACTCATTTTAGTAGTCTCTTAAGAGTCAAATTATTGACAGAAGATTGACAAATGACAAAAAAAGTGGTTTCAATCCACCCGTATATGCATGTGAAATGTGTGTGTTATAAATTAGAAAAACATACATGCCGTGTGTTTTGACAGGTAACTGTTTGGAACATATGTGTCTCTATGTCCCAAGGTGTCCCCCAAATTGTCCTAATTATATAATTATTATTAATTATTTTATTAAAAAAAAAGTACATGAGAACAGTAGAGTTAAGGGTCATAAAGATTTACCTAGGTTTTCCTGCTCAGGGATTTTTTTCCAGTACTTCTTGTTATCTAATTCTCATTGAACAGGATTAACTGTACTGGAAGAGTGATGAAAGTATTTTATAAAAAAATAAATTTGTTTCCTAATGATTTCTATTCCATCTCTTTCTTACTGTTTTTCTTACCAGTCCTCTCTTGTGCCATGCCCTAATGACATCTGTTGTAGGTGAAGTCTGAGGGATTTTAGGTTATATCCTTCTAATTATTTTTTTTCCAACATGAACAGGAAAATTCTTTGTGTTTCAACATATGTCTAAAGCAATGGAATAATATGTGGTCTGTGCTGTTCAATCTCATGTGGATTTTTTTTGAACTGCGATGGCTAGATTGGCAATATTGATGCTTTCATTTCTTTCAGGCTGCTTTTGTTCTACAAAATCTCCTTGTGATCCCAATTCCTACAGAAGTTGTCAAAGATTGTATTTGGCAAGTGAGTGACTATTACATTTGATGATAAAGGTCATAGTGTCACAGATAGACGTTGTTTGATACAAAAACCTATGTCAGCATACCTAGAAAATGTAAACTTAAAAAATTGCATGTCTAAGGTGACATTTTGGAAAGAGAAATACATGAATAGACAAACTTTTTTCAAACTTCCAGCAAGCTCAAAAAAGAACCAAAGTTAGTTTGTATATATGTGTTTGTATTTCATGAATGTAGTATCTTTGGGCTCCTAGGAAACTTGCTTACTTACATAGTATCATTAATGTTTTAGTATAGAAACTGGTCATTATTTTACCCACACTTGGAATGCAACATGATTTGAGGGGTGTGAGGAAGAAGAAATTCTGTGAATGTGATGTTTATAAAATGTTTTGAAAGAAATATGTAAGTGATGAGAATCACAGAATCACTAAGGTTAGAAAGGACCTTCAAGATCATCAAGTCCAACCATTAATCCAGCACCATCATGTCCCCTAAACCATGACCTGAATTGCCACATCCACACGTTTTTTGAACACTAGCAGAGATGGTGACTCCACCAACAACCCTTTCTAAAGAAAGATGAAGCAGCTTGTTGCTTAAGTCAATTTAAATGCCTCTTAAAAACATAAACCCTTACTCAAAGCAGGATGAACTAGAGCAGGTTGCTCAGGGCTGTGTCCAGTTGGGTTTTGACTGTCTCCAAGGATGGAGACCCCACAACCTCTTTGAGCAACTTGTTCTAATGTTTGCCTACCCTCACAGGGAAAAAGTTTTTTTCTTAAGTTTAAATAGAATTTCCTGTATTTCAGTTTTTGCTCGTTGCCTTTTGTCCTGTCACTGAATACTAATGAGAGAAGTCTGTCTTCCATTACTTTCTCTCATCAGATATTTGTACAAACTAATAAGATTCCCTGGAGACTTTTCCAGTTCTGATCTTGAGTCAGTCATCAAGTTTGTTTCTCTGTACGTAAAGATCTTTGGACCTTAGTTCCTAATTTTTCAAATTTTTGTGGCCTTGATACCTGTTCTTTCTGTCCATCTTGCTCCTTCTGGTATGTGACATCATACCTATATGAGAACAGTGTATGGTTTCTTTTGAAGAAATATGCAGATGCAACCATGTCCTGATTTATCTGTTCCTATCTGCAAATGATCAAGTTAGTGCTGGAAGGCATTCCTCCTATTTTACTAGGATAAGTTATCTATGATTCAGCTGCACACAAAATGAATTATGCTATTTCTTGCAGAGCTGCATTTTAGAGTACAGTATTTTTCCTTTACATCTGATCATAAAGGAAGATGTTCAAGTAATCTTACAAATCTGGCCCTTGTTTCAGTCTTATTGCTTATTACTTATATTTTATCAATATAAATACTAATTCTTTAAATTCATAATAGCAGGGGATTTACAAGGGTCAGCCATTTTAACTTGTTCATAGAAGCTCTATTAAAACTTGCTTTGTAGTCTTTTTTTTAAACATTTCAATGTCTATGGTGAGGTGACAGAAATTGAATCCAGTTGCAGAATTCTGGATGAATTCCAGTGCAATTAATAGAAGCTTTGAGTCAATGTGATTCTTATTAAGAATAAGTGCAATTTAATGGAAATTGCTCATCACTTAGTAAGTGTTCATGCTGAAAGATACTATCAAACAATACTTTATGGTAACTGGTAAATTAAAACTGTTGAAAATACAAACAACAATTAAAATTGTAAGATACCACCAGGATCAAATTCTATATTTCAGAGTTACTTTTTTTCCTTTGCACCGAATAAGATGGTTTTTCTGTTGACTTTAATGCAAGCAAGTTCAAAGGAGAGCTATTACTTGGATCTGGGTGAATAGTAGGAATAATGTACCATAGTCAAAGTAGAAAATTATGATTTTATCTTTTTAATTTTTATTATTTTTATCTTATTATTATTTACCTTAGGCACATAGGACTGGAAAAGGAAAGGCTGTAAATAGAGTTTGTAGGCCAGTATTTTCACGAGAATGTCTATAGTGTTCCTGTTATCTAGTTTATCTGCTTTATGACAATTCATACTGCTATGTTGCTTTAAAGAATGGCATAGGAAGTTTTTTGTAATGAGTGAAGTCTACTTGTGTCAATTGCAACGTACTGTGTTGGATAAAGGTTGCTGAAGTCGGAGTACTTTATCAATGTAACTGATGAGTATATCTTTCAGGGCCCTTGTTATACAATAAAGTATTTGGCATAGCTTTTTAAACTAGTGAAGATAGTTCTGGGTAGTAAAATTTTGACTAAATTTAACAGAATTTCCAAAGTATGCATTGGTCATATTGATACAGTCTTAAGGAGATGCTGACAGTGTATGAGTGCAGTTTTATAATTCATTCTAAAAAGTTGACATGAAATACTACATTCTTCTTCGAACTGTCAGATCTGATTCTTCATTAATTGGCGTAAAAGGCAAATAGTGAAAATAGGCTGTTTATATATTACAGAAACCAAAAAGAATGAGCAGTAGCCATCTAAAACTCTGGTCATAACTTCTCCTGTATCATAAAATAGTTTTTCTGCTTCTACTTGGTCTACTTTTTGTTTTGTTTTGTGTTTTTTTTTTTTTTGCACAGTTAGCTTGTATTCAGTGTAAATGGAGGGGTTGGGGAAGATCTAGAGCCTCTTGTGGACAAATAGTGGTTTTCAGATTACTTCTTTGCAGTTGATCTACTTCTGCTCTCTCCTGACTGCCAAAGGAAATTTCTAATTAAATGATGAATTTTCTTTACATAATTTTAACTAGTTTCTTTTTGAAGTACTGCAATGTGCCTCTTAAAACTGCCTTGCAGAATGTAATTGGTTTGAATTTTTCTCATTCTGGGTTCTTTTGCCAATTAACACAATTTTTATGGTCAGTCTGAGATAGGTTATCTTGCAGCTTAATAAAACTTGTTTTCTTCTGTTACCATAGAAAACACTAGAGAAATACTATAACAAAGGCGGTCAAATAAAACTGTTTATTTGAAATAAGTCTATGAAGTCTTTCTTTTTAGATGTAAATCCACTTCTCTAGAAAGTTTTCCCTGAAGTCAATATTTAAAAAGAAATGACTGAAAACCATTCTTCAAAGAGAATTTCTTTCTTTTTATGTCTTGTTTTCTAAATAAACCTTTTATCATAATAGATTGACATAGCTAGATATAGTATAATGGCAGTATACTTTAGAACAGGATGTCCTTTTTGGGATGTTTACTCTTAGTATGAGTGTGCCTTTTTCTAAAGAAAACTTCTGCTTTAGTTGATATCTGTAAGTACAATTAAACGAGAAATTAAAATTTTAAAGTCTACTGGTACATGTACTGTCTTAAAACCACCTATGTACAGCTTTCTATGGCTTTCTACTTACCTGTTAACAAATTTCTGGGGAGCTAAATAGCTACCTCCATTTTGCTAAATGATTACAGTTTTTGTAAAATATTATGATTTAGCTCAGCCTTAGTAAAATCGACATTTGACTTTTAGGATCTATTAGTTACAGCCTGTAAACCAGCTATGGATATACACATACACTAAGCATTAGGCTTAATTCGGGGTTTTTTGACAGTTTATTTTATGTAAAACATGTCTGTAAAGGAATGGTATTTGTGAATTTGATGTCTTCAGGGTCCCTGTGTACATGATGAAGAATCTGGCCTCTCTCAGACAGGAAAACCTGCACTGAAGGCCCTTTTGTATCACTGCAGATTCTATGAACATGTGAATCAGATGGTAAAACACTGTTACCTAGGATGTTATATGTTTGATTTGAATTCTTCCAAGGAAGATGACACTATCATAGAAAAAGGTGGTATAACTGGTAAGTGATTTTAAACCTACTTAAATAACTTCTACTTTTGAATAACTTAACCTCAAATAGTTCTTACTAAAAATGGAACTAAAAATGAGAACAGAAACCAGGAATGGAAATATGTTGTTAAGTCAAAATGTTGCTCTGATGATTTAAGATGTAGATAAGTTACTAGTTTACCATGTCTCAGAAAAAACCTGTGAGTCATTATTTACGTCTTCAAAATGTTACAAATGGAAAAGATGTAATTGCTTCTGCAGTACATTTTCTTGAAAAATATTGGGTGTAAAATACTTCTTACAGTTGTGACTTTATGACAGACCAATACAATGAAAGTTTAATAAAAAGAAATATATGGACTGTTTCTAAGACGCCTACTTCTGTTTCTTGATGTGTTCAACTACAAAGATGCGTGAAAAGGAGTGGACTCTAATATGCTGAAATTAGCTGCATTCTAAGACTTTCAGATATAATTTAATTCATAGACTGATCAAATTTAATACTCGGGTTGGATTGATTTTTTTTTTTTTTTTTTAAACCTGTATAACTTTGGAGTATCTCAGATCTAACTTTTATATTGAGTCATTGTTTTCTGAACAGTATTTGTAAGACTTACTATGATGCATTGTGGGAACCCACATTCTTGTCCAAATACATATTATGATGTTAATTTCAGAGAGCTCAATTAATTTAGGGAAAATTAATAAGTTCCTTCTTTTTGGTTTCTTTCTTTCTTGTGTGCCTAAGTTTCTGTATTTCCCTCTTATAAGCCTACAGATTTAAACAGTTCTTGTAGGTCTGCTTCTGTTAAACATGTTACAGAAGAATGAACAGAAGAGGAATGCTATTTTCCCCTAGCAAGTTACAACTTTGACAGACTCACGGAAAAGAAATATTCTTAGTAAACTCACTGACTTATCAGAGAAATAGCTCAGCAGTATACAAAATTCTAGCCATAAAAATCCTCAATTTCTTCTGTGGCTGCTTTATTTACTATTTACTTATAGTAAAGTGTAATTTTTTTTCAGTCCAATGCATTTCACTTCTCCCATGGTCCTTTTATTTGTGCCTCTTGGTAGTTGTTAGCTGATGCAATATCAGATCTAAGGGCACTCAAACTCCGGGATTGCGGAACTTTTCATTGAGTAGTTCAGATACGTTTTGTCAGATCATTGAAAAGCAAATCCAAAAAAAAGTTTTTCCAGAAGCTTTGAAATTTATGTCATTTATGATATTTCAGGAACAAGAAACAAAATTTTTATTTATTTAAAAAAGGGAAGACAGGACAATGTTTGCTTCCTCTCTGAAACTATAGTGCTTGAAAGGCTTGTAAGTCCTTCATTCATAGGTTCAGAATTGTGTTGTTTGTTTATAATGACCTGTTTCTGCTTTTCAGTAGGTCCCTTGTCACCTCTTAACAGAAGATCTTGCTTTGGTTTATCTTCCTGAAACTATTTTTGTCGTTTCTTTTCCCCTATGTATTTTCCTCACATTTTTCAGGAATATAAAAAACCCTTCATTTGCAAAGTTATGTCAAAAATAAAAATTACTTAGCTCAGTTTAGTCATTAGCTAAGAAATGTATAGCACTTCTACTGCACTCAGAATTTGTGTGATCTAGTACTTTATTCTTTGTTGTTTTCTAAATATATGAAAACCTCAAAACCTATTATTTACAGGTGTGTCCTATAAAATTTTTGTCACGTTTTATTCTGAAACAGAGTTACAAAGTCATTCTGCCTTCATTATATTTATGAATATGGGTTCTCTTGAAACTGCTTCTCTTAAAATGAGAATTTGAAGTCTTTCGAAGATAAGGACGTCTGTTCACTATGTTTGTGCTGTGAGACCCCAGTATCTTCAATACTTTTGTACTATTACATTTTGAATAAAACTAAATCGGAACTATTTCAAATGACTAAATGCTATGCAACTGCAGTTTGAGCTAAGTGTAGCTTTTTCCAGACTATTTTATGTTGCAACTAAAAATTGTATTTTATTTAATCTCTGTTTATTCAAGGGATTTTCTGAATAAGAATTTGTAGGTAAAATGTGTGAAAACTTGTATTCTGAGATCTTCAGAAGGATAACTGTGGTTGGCTACTTTTCTGTTTCACTGAAAGAATCATTTGAAAAGCTTGTTATGCTCTCTGCTGGTATGTAGTAAAGAAAAAGAAAACTCTCTCTGTTCAAATTTTATTTTTATTCTTTTTTTCCTACAGATTTTGATGATTCTCTTAATCTTTGGAAGGCTTCATCCACTCAAAGCCAATCTTCACATTCTCAGTCAACATCTGAAACTATGGTAACTTGCAGAGTAATCTATTTATTTTAAATATAAAATTGTTCATGAAGTGCTTTGAAGAAAATTAGCAGTCTTACAAATGCTTAAAAAACCCCCAACAAAACACAAAACAAAACTGAAAATTAAAAAGCTGCAACTAAATTTAAATTTTCTCTAAAGTAGCTTTAATATGCTAAAGAAAACTTTCATGGTTATTTACTTGAGAAAAATTAATAGCTTACCTTGACTAGTTAAATGCATAAGGCAATGCTGAATTCTGTAGTTTCTCATAAGCAAGACATTTTCTCTAGAGATTACTTTGTAATTGGCTTTATTGACAAAATGCAGTCATCTCCATCTATGGCTATCATTGCTGCTGCTTTTATTCAAACTGTCCTTTCAGAGTGAACCTATATTTACACTACCCTGCTACAGAACTGGATCAATCAAAACCACAGAAGTACATTGGGTTAAAATCATATTCTGTATCATAATAAACTCTGGGTTCTGAAAATGCTTTTAGAAAATATAAAAGTGGCACCAATGTTTGCAAGACCCAAAATAGACATGAAAAATACAAGAAAGCAGGTGGCTGCTTGAAAAATTTGTCGCTGGCTAGGATCATTACTGCAATGAAAGACTGTAAACATGCTGTCTTTCAAGATGTCAAATGCAAAGGAAGAGAAATTGAAATATGTTCTTCCAGTTCCAGACTAGATTTTCAATATCAGATCAGGCTGTGGAGGAAACTTTTATAACATTCGTTAGTTACCTCTTAAAAATCATATATTTTCAAAGACTGCAGCATAACTCCAAGAAAACGCTGACATGTTGCACTGAAATCCATTTTTATCGTTTTATATTTTCTTCAAAAAATTTTTGATTTATGAATAACCATCTAATGTAATATGGAAGCCATAATACTATAGCACAAAAATTTCTATGCTTATATGGCAAAGACTGATAAAGCACAACAAGATGCTATCTTATTTTATTGACTAAAATTGTTATGCCTGGTTTTGCTGTGGATTGTGATAAAAATAAAAACATGGAAAAGCCAGTATTGTAATTTTATCTCAACATTTTTCCCAATTATAATTTTCTTTACTGTTTTGACACTGTATTGCTGTCTAGTGCTTTTACTGTTATCTGGCATGTTTTTAATAATATCAGAAAAAGTATACTCTAGTTTTAAGCTAAAATTTCTCTTTTTCAGAAATGTTCTTAATGATTTTGATTTTCATTTATCTAAAACAAAACAAAACCTCTCAAAAACCCTTAAGGTTATTCTAAACAGAAATTCAGATATGAATATTTGAAACTAAAATAAATGAAAGTGCATGTAACATGAGTACGGCTTAAAAACCATTTACGTAAGAATCTCAGGTTGTTTAAAAGCAGCTGATTCTGAATTGCTTTTTACTGGATGAACTGAGTGCTGCTTATTTATAGGAATAAATATTGAGCAAATTTAATCTTGTTTTGTTCATGTTACTTGACGGGAAAAGTTAAATTTCAGTAATTCTTATCAGGGTTGAGTAATCTACCTAAAGTTGTGCTTGAGTTTTCATAAAGAGTTGAAGAGTTCATTACATGAAACTGCTTCAGCTTCAGTAGCTTGAAAAAAGGAAAAAATAATTTGGAATCTCTTAAATCAAATTAATGTGTTTTAATTTATATATACTAAGTGGCATCGTAGTTTAACATAAAGGCATAGCTCTACGATTCCATTTAAGAAATGGACAACTAATTATTTAAAGTGGAAAGCATAGTGTAATACTATGATACATTCATTTGTATCAGTCTTGCAGATGTGGTAGACTTATTTGCTGAGATTATGTTCTTAAAGCTAGTGTTAAAGAATTCTATTCAAGTTTGGTTTTTGTTTTGTTTTGTTTTCCTTCTTCCCCTGATACATATGAAGATTTTACGCAATAACTTTGATTGTCTTTTATAGAAGTTAATTTCATTTCCATTTGTCCTCAATGGACCTTTTTTGGCAGCTGTAAACTCCTGTTTTTATTAACTAAGTTTCTTACCTTTAAAAAAATACCAGTGCTGACATGACAGATGGTAAGTTTCCAAGCTGGAAGGCAAGATGCAGAGATCTGATGTTCCAGTGCCAGTATTAATTATGAGAGAAAGAGAGAGGAAGGGAACTGAGGCTAAATACAAACTGTATTTCAGAAGGCAGTTAATGACTATTAAGTTTCTATCAAGTAAAGTTTGGAAATACTTTTAAAACCTCCAACTTGTCCCGAAATAAGGTATTTTCAATTTGTTGCTATATAATTTCACATTTTATGAGATAAAGAAATACATTTGTGAGGTCATTAACAAAAGTTTGTAGAAGTTTGTCTCTAAATTTGATATATTGATGGTACCAGGAAGATAGTTATTGCAAGCCCACTAGATGGCATGCTTTCCCCATCACAGATGAAAGGGATTCTGCAGGTTTATTGAAGGGAAAAATGTTTTTTTTGTGTATGCTACAGATTTGATGACAACAGCCACAAATAATTGAGAGTTAGTAGCTATCAAACCAAGTAGAATTGTTTCTATCGGAAGCTCTTCTCTGATATATTAAAAAATAGTTGTTCTAAATATGTCCATATCTATTCATTTCATGAACGCCAGTCTAGGAAGCTGAAACTGCTTTTTGCTTCAATAAGCCACATCCTGAAGATCTTTGCAGAAGCAAAAGTGATGTCTTTTTATTGAATTATGTGAATTTCTTTTCCGCGAAGAGAAAACGTCTGCTGTTGTTTTTTTTTTTATATATTTGAAAACAGTTCTGACAAAGAGAAGACACTGTTACTTTTCTTTGTTTTCAAATTTCGTGTTATCAGTACTTTAATTGAGCTATCTACTGTCAAAGGCTGATTTTGCAAAGAGAAAAGGTCTGCTGGTTTTTTTTTTTATATATTTGAAAATAGTTCTGACAAAGAGAAGACGCTGTTACTTTTCTTTGTTTTCAAATTTCATGTTATCAGTACTGTAATTGAGCTATCTACTGTCAAAGGCTGATTTCACACAGGGTTTATATAACCTTAGGTGAAAATAGTATCTAAATTGCTTTTTGGCTTCATTTTTTTTTTCCCATCCACAAATTTTTCCCCAAATTTGGAGAAAGTAAAATTGAGAATATTAAGAAGCAAGTACATTAGTAGCAGAAATAATTATTTTTTTTTTAACTTTAGTATATAAAATAGCCTGTCAGAGGTGTTGCAGAGGCCGTAAGTACGATTTTGCCCATTTTATAGTGCAAAGAATGGCAACGAGGGAATGAAATCAATGATTCAAGGTCATGTAAAAGATGATATCAGAGCTGGATTGTATGTACTGTATTAACTCATATGCACTGTATTTAGTGTTTTTAAGATCTCAGTGGATTATAGATTTTTGTCAAATTTATCTATTTTTCTGTTAACTGGAATATGGACAAAAAGTCCAATTCTGAGGGGATTAAAAATCTCTTGTCTTTTATAGAACTCACAGTTTAAACGAACTCAAGTTATCATTACAGAGAACAAATCCTTATTCTTATTTTAACAAAAATGTTTGTTTTCTGTTTAGTATGTATGACTGAGAACCCAATCAGCATGGAGATACTAACTTGCTTCACACTGCATAAATACACTAGGGCTGTTCTGTGTCCAGGGTAGCTTAGCAAAATGAGCAGTTATTTAGAAACTTGAGCTAAAAATGGTGCAGGTTAAAGATCTGCAGACATTTCCCAGATAGCTTTAAGTCATGGCCATTCTTTCCTATGAAATCATCTTGCTATTTTATAAAAATGTGTTCTTTATTTTCTGGAGCCATGGTTACCAGAGTACTATACAGTTAAGTGATTTAAACCTTTGAAAAGAGAACCGAATAGAATTAATCACTGCAAGCCTATTAAATCAATGCTAGAGGAATTTTTGTACTAGAGGTTAAGAAAAGACCTTTTACTCATATGTAGTAGATAAATGGCAAAACCCTCACACTTCTTCTGTATTTCCACTCAAACAATTTTGTATTCTTTTGTATTAGTTCTAATCTGCCATTGTCATCTCCCCCTCAATACAGAACCCTTTCTTTTCCAAAATTAAACCTCCTTCCAAAGTCTGTTGTTTCACTGTTAAGCAACAGAATGCATCATTGATCCCAGAAAGAATATGGTGGCAGTAGTAAATATCTTTTACTAGATACAATGTCTCAGACCCCCAGTTATCCTTGTCAAAGGTGATTTATAAAAGCGGTAATATCTTTTCTTTCCTGGAAGGCAGAGCATTGCAGAAACAACTTCATTGTGTTACTGTATGTTTTCTGTTAAGGTAGCAGAAAATTTCGGGCTTTAGCGCACGTCCCACTGTGAAGCAATTACCAATAAATGTTCCATCAGTGCAGGGAGCTGATATTTTTCTAACCAGATAAAGCTTTTATTGATTTTTTTTTTTTTAAACTTATCTAAAACCTTATCTTTATCTCATTGCCTCAAGTGTTTAGAGAGTTCTAGAAGATAGAGAAAAAGTTGTTGTGTGATGTAGAAGATATTATTTACTAATATGTGAAAGCTTGTATAAATTCATAATAATATCTTTAAGATGACTCTCATCATAGTAGTAATTCCTTTTAGGGTTTTAATAGTTGCTGAAGAACCATATAGACTCGTAGAAGTTACGTTTTGGGCTTGTACTTTTTCTTAAAGTTAATGGTTTTTGTCATTTATTATAATGCTTGGAATTGAGGCATAGTGCTGAATAAATGCAGAATTTACCATGTGTCAAGATGGATTGATTTACTCTAATAGAAATAATGGATTTTAATAATTATTTAAAGCAAAAAACTGAAACTTTAAATTCAGCTGGAAAATATGCATTTTATTTGTGTAATAAATTCCAAACAGAATTTGATTTCATTTGGTTGGTACAATTTGGTACTGCATTTTGCTAACAAGAAAATTACTTAGCCAAGCATGTGCTAGTGTTTGTGATGTGAATCCTGGGTTTCAGACACACCCCTTTCCCCCCTGCCCCAATCTTACTGTAGCTTGTCTTCTGTGTTACAATAACCTTCTGGACTTTTTGGGGAAAAACTGAACATGCTTGAGGAGAAAAATTCAAGACTGTAGGATGGACAGTAGTGGGACACCAGGGAAAAATAGGGGAGAGAAGGGAATTACAGCATGGAGATGGCAACCTTTAGCTCATGCAGGGACCCTGGTCTCAAGTAAAGATGTGCTGATAGAAGCCTAACAATATTTGGAAGTGATTGGGGGGAGGGCAGGGTTAAACCTTTGAGGGGATGAGAAAAAAATAAATAGGGAGTTTCTGTTGCTCAAAATGCTGCTGAGTAAATCAAAGCCAAACCTGGAAAGTAGTGACCTAACTGCAAGGATACAGTAGCTAGGAAGGGAATAATCTGTGATTTCCTTCCCTCCACCCTTTTTGTCAATTAAGTAACTTTTGACTTTTCCTTAGGTAAAAAAACATTCCTACTGATATTCTAATGAAGCTGTAAAAAAAACCTTTGAAATACTTTGGTCTTTCTTAGAAAGCTTACTGTGAGGAAAAGTCCAATAACACCCATCCATCACAGCTGTGACTGTCTCAGGATTTCATTGGGTTACCCAATGTTCTGTATTCTTTACACTGTATAGTGACACTTGAAGAAAACTTACCTGATGTGAATTGTCCAGCTAGAAAACAAAAAGCAGAAGTGAAAAAGTGACCTCACATGGGAGATGCTTCTCCCATACTCTGAAACAGGTCACAGGTCTTGCTGTATCACAAAAGCATATTATTAAGCTGGAGACTCTAGGTATTCTGATCTCAAGCTTGTGGTTTTAAACACAGTAGCAAGAGCATTAAGAACTTTTGAAAGCATGCAAAATTAATAGTAGGATAGATAATGTAGAATTGGTAGAAGCAGCACAGTAGTGTGACAATAAAATTGTCTACAGTCATGTAAATATCTTACATCTTCACCATGAAATGAATACACAGGACTAAGGTTAAGAGAAGAACCCATCCCAGAGTTGGAAAGACTCTGGAACTTCAGCTTTGGCTGATGATTAATGTGCTTGTGATATTTTTGTCTGAGTGTGTCCTGGTATAAATGGACAAGTGCTGATGGTCTCAGTAGAGCAAATAGTCCATGAAAAATTAGAGTTTAAATGCCTCAGTAATGCCTTTCTATCTTAGTCCAAATGTAGATTGAGTCAATTATATGGGTGAAAAAGAAGGATGAAGAGGAGAAATTTCCAGTAACATGGGCATCGATCAGTTTTTAACTGAAATGCATATTGCACATCTTTCAACAGTTTCAATTATTGGATGTTTATATGTGTCTGTGTGTGTGTATATAAAAAAAGAAAAATTTAATAAGATTACTTTTGAACAGTAAATTTTACATTGTTTTTTGGTTTTGTGGGTTTGTTGTTTTTGGTGGGTTAGTGTTTTGTTTGGGGGGGGGGGGGGTTCCCCCCCTGGGGTTAGTGTTTTGTTTGGGGGGGGGGGCGTTCCCCCCCTTCAAGCAAAATATAAATAGAAGTCTACTCTATAAAAGCTGGAATCGGCTAGTTTCCTTTTTATGTCTTTCTAGATTCGGTCTGCATCACCATCACTGGGGAGTGTTACTGAGCTTCAGGCAATAGTCCCAACAAATTCAAACAGTTTTATTCCTGAAACTGTAGTTAATCGGCTTATGGCACAAGGTAAGTCAAATTATGATTTTGTGTACGTAATGCTGAATACAATGCATTAGGCTGCCTAAATTCCAGTATTTCTTCATGAATATGAATATGAAGCTTGCTTATTGCTGGAACAATCACCATTGATGCTTCTGGTGGGTTTTTTTGGAAGACAAACATGAAATGCTTCCTTTAAAATGAAATAGGATGAAGTACATTTGACAGAAATAAGTGGAAATGGTTGATACTGTTTGAAATGTAACTCAAGACTTAGATTATATTCCTGTCATCCAGGCACCCTTTCAAAACATTCAATTTTGGTAAAGCTGATATATACATACACGCACATGCATGCACACACATGGGTGTATATATAATTCTTTTTGTATGTAGAAAGATAAAAATTTATTTAATGTAAAAAAATATTAAACGTATGTAGAGTTATATCTACAAATATAAAATAATTTTCTATTAAGGAAAAAAATGAAGATTTATACCTTTCAAATTCACTGTTCATGTTTAACGATTATTAGTGCCTTGTAGACGGAACATTTTATTTTGGAACTATTTTAAATAACACTTTTTCTGTATCTGATTGCCTGCTTGCTTGTTTTTTTCTTATTCCAGAGTATACTGTTTAAAATGTACTTGGATATCTTATGAAAAAGAAAGATCAATATGTTTTATGTAACTGCTCTAACTAATCTTTTGTGGTTTGGTGGGGTTTTTTGTTGGTGGTTTTTTTTTTGTTTTTTTTTTATTAAACACATTCTAGGTCAAAGTGATACAACCACACCAGAATCTCCAAGTCAACATGATTCTCCCATGTCTGCTACTCTATCTAAACAGCGTGCTGTAGTCACACCTGCCCTTCTCTCAGCTGTTTGCAGCCTTCTGCACAATCTGCTGGTTATCACACCAAAAGATACTGGAATTGCTCTTCAGGAAGCACATTTGCTAACAGCTCTCAGCAGGTATGAGATCAATAACTGCTGAACTATATAGATGATGTAGCAATGAGAGGTGAAAATTTTGAAATGAGATCTACCAGTGTTTCTCACCAAAACTGTTAAATATATTGATCACTTCTTGCTTCTGAAGTGTTAAAAATGACTTTAAAAAAAATAATATCAAGAGAAAAGAATTTGGATTATTTCTTTATTTCACAGAAAAGGTAGTCATATGGGTGATTCCATTTGTAGTGTCTGTCTTCTACAGGACTGCTTTGTTCCTCTGGTAATGATTTAAGTTTTTGTCTAGATGGCCATTTAGTCATCCTTTTTGGAGGGGTAACTTTTTTTTTCTTTCATAGAAAAATACATAATATAGTCAGATATTCAAAGTTGCAGATCATTTCAGTTCATTTTGTGATTTTCTTCTTTGAATTTTATGTAGTATTCTGAGGATAAGCGAAGGACTGTCACACTAAAAGAGAGTCAATAATGCTTGCCAAATTTGAGAAAGTATTGAATGATAGACCCTGGTGTTTTGTTTCTTTTTTTTAAAGGAATCACTTCATAATAGTCTTCAGATTGTATTCCATGTTTCCACTTGCATCGTAAGAAACTCTTTCATCTGTAAAAAAATGTTTGGAAGTCCTGAAGTGAAGCATGAAAATTAGTTCAGGGTTTTTTTTAAAGTTTTCAAGAGCTTTCATAGTTGCTTTTCATACTGCAATTAACGAAAAAACCAACTCTTGTTTGAATACAGTTTATATTATTACAGAGCTGTTTATTCTTCTACAGGAAAGAAAATAACCAATCAAATATAAACAAGGAATTTTTACCAGTGCAGGAACAGCCACTGGAATTTATGTTAGTCTAGCTATTTTGAAACTGCTATTTTTACTGCTACTATAGTTGCCATTGCACTAGACTTTCTTAAAATAGTGGGTTTAAGCAGTAAGTTCTTCAGAATTTATATTCACTCTGTTTATTTTAAATGTTCTATGGAATATTAAGTTAGTAGAATGTTTAATTATTTAAGTATATTTCTAACCAACTTACTTTATTTTAGTCTTGTAAGTGCTAATGTGGTTGAGAGATGTGTCTTGGAACTGAAAGCTCCACTGGGTCATCCACGTCATGTAGAACATGTAAAAACTCAGGTTAGAGAAGCATTTGTTTCTTTCTAATTTTTTTAAATTATGAAATTAATTTCTTTGCATAATCTATATTCATATTCCAGATGCACTGCTATAGGCTATAGTCATGTGAGTCTCTGCTTTTGACAAGGTTTAAGAGAAAATAAACCATGTTATATTCAACACAGAGCAATTTAATTTCTGTGTTAGAACTATACCTAGAACCATCAAACCGAAAACCAATTGTGTTTTAAAAATAAAAATTGAGTTAAGCAGTTACAGAAGTCATGTAATAGAATTTCTTTGTATGGTACTGAAGTGCAGCCAGATACAGTTAGACACATTTCATATTTATTTTCTACAACAAACCTGTCTGTTCTGCTTTGTCTCCAATTCTGCAGACACTTACATAGTTCTAAACTATGTTGATGTATGGAAAGCATATAGGATTACTGCCAATGGAACTACTTTTGTATCAAGTTTAACTCTGTCTATATAATATATAGAACATACTATATTCATGGCACAGCACTGTTTTAAAGCTTCTGCTGCTCTGCATTCAGATTTACTTTGAGGAAAGATACCCAAGTTATTAAGACAGTGTGTTTCTGCAGAAATCTTGTGAGAATAAATAAATGTCAGGAATAATTTTTTTTCCTACAGCTTCAAATTGAGCTTCTGTTTTCAGGAAATACACATATATTTGTCAATATTATTTTGAATAACATTTTAATGTTTTTCTTTGTGAGCTTCCAGACAATATGATGCTGTACATATAATGAGAGTCATGACTTTCTCACAAGAACTTTATTCTTTGTCACTAGAACATTGATTTCAGACATGTGTTTCTAGACTAGGAATTCTGCTTCATCTTCTACAGTAAAAATTAGGAGAACAATTTAATTTATATCCTATTATTTCTTTTAAGTCATGTGTATTAATTCAAAATGTTATGAATCAGTTGAGGTAATGGGAGTATTTAATTTAAAAAACTGTATATGGAAGGTACAAATAAATGGCTTTATTTCATATCTTTTTAAAAACATTTAACAGGTATTATTACTACTTCAATACTTGTCATCTGTGTCCAGGCTTCTGAAATCATGTTTATTGGTGGACTCTCAGCTTGTAATCCAGGATGAACTGTTGAAACCTCTCTTGGGAAATACCTTCATGATTCTTGCCATTCGCTCCAACGGTGGGTTAGGTAATTAAGTGTTTTGTTTCCAGTATAGCCAGACAGAGGCACATTCACGTGCCACCTTCATTTGAATTGACAGTTGTTGTCAGGCTTAGCTATCCAGGTTTGTGCACACCTGTAAATGGTTTGATTTTTTTTTTTTTCCCCTATATTATCTTTGCAGATACCGAGTTAACATCTGTACTTCATGAAACGTGGGTAGACTTTTTCAACCTCCTAGCTACATTATTGTGGAAGAGTGGCCAAATATCTTTTCCATCTGTGACAGCAGCCCTTGCAAATCATTGTACAGCAATAATTGGTAATAACTATTCCTGGATGGGTTTTAACCTGGCAACTAATAAAATAAATAAACAAGTAGAAAAGAGGGGCATTCCTGTTCAGATGTTAAGTAATTACCAATGGCATATGTAGGATGAAAACCAAATGTGTCCAGAGCTTGAGTGACTTTTTGCCTTAATTGGATTTTTATATCTCTTTCTTATATCAGACTAACTTTTGAACTGCCAGATGAATTCACAAGTTTTGTTTGCATATATGGGTTAGTGATTCTAGTTGTGATTCTTAACCAAATATGGCACCTTTTGAGTAGAGCCTGAAATGATCCGTTAGCACTTCATTTTTTTCCTTATATGTGAGGGGTTTTTTATTATCTTACATAAAAGGAAAGCAAAGTTTTGAGGGGAAATAAGAGATATAGGAATTTAAGATTATTGTACAGGGGTTTGTTTTTAAATTATTCCTTCATGGTTACTTGCCTAGTCAAGTCTCTCAGTCACCCAGAACCTCTCACATGTTTCAATACTGAAGTATGAGGATAGTCCATTCAAGCTTGTAATTTCAACCAGGTGCACGTTAAGTGATCTGGTGAATCCAAATCCAGTTGCACATAAAGCACCTGATGGGTGCTTTTGGTATTATAATGTAAACTGTTGAATGAAATGAGGAGACTTCATAAAATCATTGAACAAATGAGTGATTTAACAAATAGAAATAGCTTTTTTGTTTTATAGTAAAATTAATGCAGATCAATTAATTCATTCAAACCTGTAAACTCAAACTTTTCTTTCTTACATTTTTAAAGACTTATCAAATGCATAGAATTTGTAGAATTCCTTGTGCAGTGCAACGCTATAACTGCTTCTTGGCTCACACACTCTCTTTGATAAGTCTTTCTGAGTTCTGAAGCACTTAAACTTTATTCAGAATGAAATGTAAGATTTTTCATTTTTCTGTTTAACCTTTCAGATACCATTTGTGATTGTATTCATCTGTCAACCACATATCCTGCTTTATATATGGCTAGTTTACAGTTCCTCTCTGTCCTTTTGAATGAGGAAGGAAGACGACATCTCCAAGATAAACAGAGTATATGTCAGAATCCAACTATTAGCTTTCTTCTGGATCACGTTGAAGGATGCCAGGCATCAGTAACTCAACTTACTGCATTAATTATTCAGGTGTTTAAAATTTGAAGATGTGATTGCCAGATATATTTTTGCATTTTTGTATTTTGTTAAAAAAAGGATGTAGTTATCTAATGAAAAATCCATTGTTTCCAGTTATGAACCAAGATACCTTTAATTTGAGACATCTATTACACACTTTTTTGAAATTCATGTAATAAGCTGGAACAAGTGCAAAGAAGCAGCTTCTAGGAAGTGCCTTGCAAGGCAATTATGCTGCAACAGCATGGTATGAAATCTCATGTAGAAATGATGTATAGATAGAGTATGTTTGGCGAAATACTGAATATGCTTTTTTTCTGCTTTTCCAAACATGTAATGAGATTTTTAAGGTTTGAGACATAGTTATATCCACATTGTAAATGACAGCATTGTTGTTCTTAACAGCTGCCTTCATAAAAATTGTGAACCAAAATGAATCATTAAGCTTTCTAGTTCATTCCCTGATAGTGTAAGATCAGTGTTGTTGCACTTAAGAAGCATATATTAATGTATTTTCTAAGCTAGTTTTAAATTGGACAGATAGCATATTTTCACTAACTTATTTAGGAAACTTGTTGCTCGACATAATATGTATTGGTGACAAGATGGTTTTTTTCCTAGATACTTATTCTGAATCCTCTGTCTTTCTGAATGTAATCTCATTATTCTTATTTATACTTTTATATACTGTCCTAAATTATTCTTTTACCTCCTTTGTATTTATATCCTTCATTTACTTACAGAGTGTTAAAATATCTTCTGTTACTTATTACTAAGAAAAGTTATATGTGAAATTTATGTCTAATTTATTTTCCCTCAGAAACTGGTTCTTTTATCTATATACTCATTGTCCTTTAAATTATGTGCAGATTGTCACTGTAACAATAGTAGCGATCCGTGATTAGAAGTGTAGTGTTTGTCTGAAAGACGTACGTTTCATATAACATAATGTAGCCTATGATTTCTAATGTCTGAAGTCAGCGTCTTGTAATTATTTTTTGTAAGAATTGTATCTAGTACTATTTTGCTATGTAAAACATTGTTTTTTCAGCATGTACTAGTGCATATCAGATGGTGTGACCAAAGTAATGCTGTCTTAGTATCATTTCATCACCCCTCTTCCTATGGTTGCTGAATTCTTGTAGAATATCCTAACTCCTACCAAGACTTGTCCTGATCTAACTAACATCTGTCATACAACTTGTGTTCCTTTCTGCTGTGTTACACCACTGTGGCTCTGTAGCATTTATTGGGGCATAGCATTCTGTCCACTGAGAATGTGGTGTCTTTTAAGGAGAAACTTCCTAAGAGGAACTTTTTTGGTATCACTGGATAGGCCACTAAAACTAGAATTCCCTGTCTCTTTGGCAACTAATTTCAGATAATTTCACTGCATTTCCTGTGAGGACATGATTTGCAGAGACTGAGAGCAAAACAGGGGCTCTTCACTGAAATCCCACAATTTGCTAAATATCCTGTTAGGTTTTTGGTTTTAATGCTTCTGTGTGTGCCTAAAACTGAAGTTCTCGGCTCTGGCACAGAAAATCTAGTTGCATAAAAGTGTGTCAGACAAAGAAGTGTTGTGTTGTAAGTCACATTCCTCTATTTTTGTACAAGTGTACATAGCTGATTATTAGTCTTTGCCAGCAAAAACTGATGATTCTTATGGTGACAGCAGAAAAAGTCTATACAATAAAGAATTAACTGCAGCCAGACCAATGAAAGTTTATCAGACACCATGACATAGCTGGAGCATCATAAGAGATACCAGCTTTTAACTGTTCAGAGCTGTAGGTTGATACTGCATTTTGTTCATAAGAGCTCAAAAGATAACCTGTGCTCTCTGGGGCTTTATGGTATATGAAAGGGATATAGCTGCTATGATCCCCAAATAAAGAATAACAGAATTAGGAAAGAAACATCTTCAATTTTTTAGAGCAAAGTACTTATATTTATTTAATCTCCAACCCAAAATATTTAAATATGATCTTTCTTGAAGAGAAACACTCAAGCAAAAAATTGACTAATGTAGAAAAGGCTGTGAGAGAGAATTTTCAAACAGTCATCTCCATTAATCATCCTAATTGCATATCACCTATATGTATATTTTATGTAATGGCAAATGCTAACTTAGGACCTGGTCTGCAGGTGTGAATATTAGCAGACCAGGTCCTAAATATGCATTATTGCATATAACCAGTTTAGTAAATGCACATGCTGACTTTGAAAGATCTTTTGTGTGTGTAAATTTTAGCCCTTGCATGTTTTCAAGATCAGAAGTAAAAGTTATATGAAAACATAAAGTCTCAAATTTAGGCCCTACCTTCTTTTTACTAGATGAAAAATTCACAGTATTCTAGAAAGGCTGTAATCTCCCCTTTAACTAACTTAGAGTATGTGAAGACTAACATAGCTAGATCTGCTGTGGATTTATGGGACATCTTAAATTTTTTATGCATCATAATTTCAAAAAACAATTAAAAGTGTCCATTTTTATTTTAATACTTGAATACTAGTAGTTTAAAACTATAGAATCTGCTGGTAAAAGGCACTATAAATTTACATAGAGTTATTTTTGCCATTCAACTAGTAGTTAATCATCAATTATTAATTATTCAAGTGTTCTGTATGATTGACATAAATTTTCTTTTTTTATTATAAACTGCAATTCTTGTTTGTGGAGTAAGGAAAATTGTATAAAGCAGCATGGAATTTTGCTAGTTTTCAAGGTAAAATTTAGAAAATAGTAAGACGAAATTAAAACTTAATAAAAAATACAAATATAGGACAAGTCACCATAATTATTTAATCCATGCTAATCATGCACATAATACTTAACTAAAGGAAAATACCCAAGAGATTGACAGGGAAACATGTTTTTTAATGACTGAAATATTCCTATGTACTAAGAAAAAATAAAAACAGCTAGCAACTTAATAGGCAAAAGCCTTTGAATGGATCAGTCACAAAATCTACACTTTGTTATGCAGGATTGAAGCAACTCAACATTTTATTTTTTCCTGGCTTGAGTAAACTAGCATCAAACTTTAAGCTTTTTATATTTTTAACTATTCAAACATCTAAATGTTTAATTTGAAAAGAAACCACCACCTAGCAGTACAGAAAAAGATGATTTACTTAGAACATTCTTGTGTTGCTGATAGCTTTGAAAGTTCACTTGTGATCTGATAAAACCAGTTGTAGTGTAAATGTGAAAATTTTTGTGTTAGCTATAAATATAGAATCCAGTATGTACCGATTTGGTGTCAAATGTCCTTATCAATGAGTGAATCTGGGTTTTTTGTTTTTTTAAAGTTATTCACTTACTAGCCTTCATCCGTGGAAATTTTCAGATCTGGTTACACTGAAGAGTTGAATAAATGATAATCCTAGAGCATACATTGATATTTTGTTGCATATTAAAATTTGAAAAATTTGTTAGTCAATTACTAGCTAGAAGACTAAAGCCAATAAAAGGTGATATGTGTGATGTATGTGGAGGTTTGAAATCTATGAGGTCTTGTGGCTAGGTACTCACAAGATTTCTGACTGAAGTATTAGGTTTTTCTTAAGATGTATTTTTTACTAACTTTGAAATATGTTTTTCTTTCCACTACAATCAGCAATAGTTCTTATTTTACTGTATTATTCTGATTACAATGCATACCATTTTCCGTTATCTTGGATGTCACTATTGGAATGATATTTTAGGGAAAAATCACTAGATGGACAAAATTCTCAAAATCCCCTAGTGGATAATATGCAAGGCACAGGGAGCTCCTCATCTTTCAACTGTCTTGTTATATGACTCCAAATAAATACTCCTTTGAAAGCACAGAGATTATGTTATCAGAATTACGATGATTCTCACAAAGGACTCACAAGAATAAGACAAACTCATTTTTCTCTGTTTGGAAGAGTATCTAAAAAAAATTATCTGTGTGTCAATGATACCTTTGTTCTAAAGAATTTCATTGATATTTAGTGTCTCTTCTTCATCATTGTGTTGAAGGAAAGTGAGATTGCACTAAAGGCATGTCAGTGAATTGTCTGTGATAGCAAGCCTGAATATTGGGAAACATCTGGAATGCCAGGGTTGCGAATATAGGCTTTAGAAAGGTAGAAGGTTAAGAAGAGAGTAAGAGGAGTGGGCTTACAAGTAAAAAAAAAAAAATTATTTAAAAACCCCCACATTTTAATTAGAAAAAAAAAAAAAAAATGAAACACTTCAATGCATACAGACTATAAACATGAATATAGAGAGGGAGAACTCCGGTTATGAATATAGTGATGAATCATCCAAATGAAAATATAGACTATGACAGCGTATTTATAGATATGAATACTACTTTTAATAGGGTCACTTTTCCATTTCAGTAACCAAATTGCATTATTTGTAGGACTATGAAAGAAAATCTTCAAAGGATGTGTTGAAAGAAGTTGCTACAAATGCATTGCTGTCTCTGTTAGCTGTCAGTAAAACTGCCCAGAAATGTGCTTTGGAAGGTGAGCTTTTCAAAATGTATGTTAAATGCATTATAAATCAAATGCCTGCAGATGTTTTACGTATTTTTAAAATTATAATCTTTTTTGTCAAAACAAAAGACCTAGTGTTCAGTGGCGTATTTTGTAGATTTTTACAGAGAAAGCTTATTAATAATTAAAGTTTTCAGCTACAGATAAAGTAATGTTGTATCCAGTCTAAAAATTTGGGGTGAAATCACAGCTCTGTCTTAGAGTGGAGGTTTTGCACCGGCGGTATCTTCCATTTGTTTCACGCTATACCGATACAGGTTTGTAGGTGAAAGTATGCCCTGTGTTCTTGGTTCTGTCTGTACCTAGACAAGAAGAGATGACTTTTCTCAGCTTTATTCTTTCCTGCCTCTTTGTTTCTTTCTTCCCATTTTACAGTTTAAGTAGTATCTTCTCCCCTTGCAGTGCAACATCTTTTTTGTCTAAGGTTTTACTTTCCAATAGTAAGGTAAAAAGTTTAATCAAAGTCTTTTTGTGCCCACTAAAACACAGGGGCAGCTGGTTAATTTGCATTTCTCATGTATCATGCATTTAATGCCTGATCATCAGCCCAAGTGCGCTTTGTCTTGGGTGCTTTCTCATTACTTGCATCTCTCCGTTTGTTTGGTCCCTTAAATCTACACTACCCTGAAATAGATAGCCTAGACATACCTGCTCAATGTCAGATCCTAACAGTGGCAGAAAACTCTGAACTTCAAATCCTGTGCTATATACCTACTTTCTGCTCTTTCCCAGTGTATTGGTGGTCTACTCAGCCCTTGCTTCAGTCAGGGTGGTGGTTCTGTTGATGACCCACTAGATGATCTAAGACCTGACTTCCTGTGAAAGCACTACCAGTGCATGAAGTGCATCACATTCTGTGCTAGAACAGCCTTCAAGTCATCCTTGCTGTGATGCAATCCGAATGTTAGAAAAAAGGAGGAGTTCTGGGGTTCAGATCAGTGTCCTGAAGATATCTGTAGCTCTAACATCACCTGTTCAGCTCTTGAGGACTACTTTTTATGATACAAATGCAAAGTCTTGGAGCTGGAAAGGAACAACCCCTTACAGCAGTACAGGCTGACTGGGGAGCTGAAAAGGACCTTGAGGTCTTGGTAGGCAGCAAGCTCAATGTGAGGTGACTAACAGGATCCTGATCTGTATCAACAGGAACACGGCCAGTAGATCAACGGGAAAGGATTATCTTTCCTCTACTTAGCACTTGTTAGACCAAATCTAGAATAACGCATCCAGTTTTAGCCCAGTACGAGAAAGACATCAGCAAACTGGAGCAAGTTCAGCAGAGGGCCACCAAGGTGGGTGTGTCCACCTGTCCTTAGAGGAGAGCCTGAGAGAACTGGCCTTGTTCAACCTGGAGAAAAGGTTTTGGGAGGGCCTAATAGCAGCCTTCTTGTCTTTTTCAAAACCTCATAGGTACAAAGCCAGATTTTTCACAGCAGTGCATGGTGTAGGAGGATGAGATAGAACTGGCATAAATTGAAATACGAGAGTCAGACTGTAAAGAAATGTTTCCCCTTTGAAAGCAGTCAAGCAATGCATCAGGTTGGCTAGACAAACTGCGTGGTTTCTGTCTTTGGACGTTTTCAAGACCCAGCTGGATAAAGCTGCAGGTGAACCTTGCCTGATCTTACAGCTGACTCTGCTTTGAGCAGGAGGTTGGACTATATGACCTCTGGAGGCCATCTCTTCCAACTTGAATTATCCCATGAGCCTATGATCTTGCAATAAATTAAAGACTCTCGATCCCAAGAAAAGAGCCTAACTCAATATTTTGCACTTTGAGTCACCTGAACATTTTCTTTCCTTTGTCCCCCCTCAGATGCAGCAAATCTGCTGCTGTTAAGGAAGAGTTGGGTAAGATTTATGCTTGCCCTAATCACTTGAAGCTTCAGTCTTCTAGGCAGCATCATTGAAGATATCCTGAAGAGTTATGAGTTGCTGTCCTCTTCCTCCCAAATCATCCTCCTCTCTCCATCTTATCAGTCCTTCCTTTGGGCTTTCCTCTTACAGGACTGTGTTGTAAGAGGATTCAAATGTATTCTTGCTTCTTGAGATCATTCAACTAGACACACTTCATCTCGGACACTGTTAGTTACTTCCTGATATCAAGAAGATAATATACTATGAACTCACAGAATTTTGACATCTGGATCCTGAAATCTCAGTTCAGGAGGGTAACAGTAATCAAGATTGTTGCAAGAAAAATATGTCTCATAAAATATTTTTTGATTGTGGATGAACTTCTAAATGTTAGTATTTTTTGTCTTCCAGTTGACCTGATAGACAGCTGTATAGAAAACATGAAGCATATTCATGCACAGCTGAATTTGGATTCCCTAAAGCCTGGGAAAGCACAGAAGAAAAAGGTAACTATAAAACCCAAAAGACTGATATAAGTCACTTCCCAGTTCTTTTTTTGTTTGTTTTTGGCTGGGTTTTTTTTTTTTGAGGTGGATACTGTTGGTATCTGTCAAGGGTGAAACAGAGTAAATGACAACTTGTAGTGAATCTGGGTACTGGGGCTACTTTAAGATCCAATGATTTTAGAGCTTTTATCAACTTGATTATCTCACACACTCACTCTCCCACCCTGAGTTATGTTCACTAGGTCTCACCTTCCTTTTCCACCTTGGGAATGACTGCTGGTTCATGAAAGTCAGTCAGAAAATCGCATCAGTTCATGCGATATGGACTCTTGCAGCTGCTCAATTACCAGTCTTGGGTGTGACTGGCCAAAGGCCCTGGATATGCACTGGTATTTGTTGCCAGGATCTTCTCCCACTTGCAGGATCAATGCCTCCAGCCAGAATCTTCACACTCTTCTTTTTGGGCCCATTTCTTTCTTTCGGAGACCGTTTCTTTTCAGGAGCCCTTCTGTTCACCACCAGCTTTCCTTTTCAGAACTCTTAAGCTCCTGTTTATCTAATCAAAGTAATCTATGTGTCCAGGTTATCAGAATTGGCAGCTAGCCCATTCTAGTTGAAGCCAGCAACTAGCAGGCTTCTGATTGAGAGTTCCGAAGTTCAGTTTTGGACATTCACACACATACATGCTCATCCATTTGTCATCTGTCAGTACTTGCAATTCATGATATTTATTTAGCCTAAAACAATATCTAAGAGCATTGTGTTATTTTCAGACATAGTTGGACTTTCGGCCTTGACTTTGTGGTCCAGTCCAGTCCAGCTAATTTTTGCCATCTTGTTTCTACAATAATAATTTTCCTGTTTCTCAGGTTTTTTCTCCGTGTCTTTCAACGAGTGCTAGCCATTTTGTTTTTTTCTGTTCCTGTACCAGTGAGTCTCCCTCCCACACCAAAGCCAGTTCCAGTCTGCTTGTGCATTAAAGTGTCTTTCAACGAGTGCTAGCCATTTTGGTTTTTTCTGTTCCTGTACCAGTCAGTCTCCCTCCCACCCCAAAGCCAGTTCCAGTCTGCTTGTGCATTAAGTCATAGTTTTTTATTTTCTACCATCTCGTGTTATCTGGCTTCCAATTCTAATTCTTTTTCTGTCCTCCTGCTTGGTCTGGATATCTCAGCCTCTTGTCATCAGACTCAATTGATCCTGGCTTTAACTTCTTGTCAGAGTTTTTTAAACCTCTTACTTGTGTTCCTTCTACCACCTGTACTCCCAGTTTCTTCTCTCCATTCACAATTTCTTTGTTCAGCCTTTTTTTTAACCTCCCTTCCAGTTGTCCCAGGCTTTCCTATCACCCAGCTCTTCCTTACCACATCTAGACATAGATTATTTCTTAGCATCACACAACAGTTTCAGAAGATTTTTGTTGAAATCTGCTTGTTTTCTACCATTGGAATCTAAGAGAATGATTAAAATACAGACAATAACCTCTGCTGTCAAGTTTGATATCTTACCCACTCCCATATAAAGCAAAAATTGCAGAAAACACCTTCCTGCAGGATATTTTTGCATTGTTTGAGCTTGGTAGTATTTTTTTCTGAGGTGTTGGCACAAATAGGCATTAGCCTCGATTTGTGAGAGTGTGGAACTGTGTTTTATAACAATGAGGTCTTAAAATAATTTGAGTTTGACCCTGACATTTGAAGGCTACAGTATTTTCTCTTGAGACCTCCTAAACACATTTATTATCCCTCCTTCAAGGAGTGGAGGCTGAAAGGTCTCCTGCTCTGGTTATGTCCAGTGAGGCTGAAGTTAGCTGGTTCTTTATATCTCTTGGTTTGAGAAGGGGGAAGCTGGGTAAATTTGCTCTTCTCCTAAATGTAGAAGGAATTTGAAACTTGAAAGAAACTGAAGGAAAGGAGCCTCTAAGAAAGGTCAAAAAGACTGTTTATGTTTAATTAAGAATTCTCTGAAAGAGATTTGCAAAAGACTTTGTGGCAGATTTCCCTGCTGAGCTACATCATATGTAAGCGTGGTGTTCGTCATACGTGGTGCATAACGACAAGCAATCTAGTTTCACATGAGGGAAACTGAGTCATTGCTGTCACAGCCAGATTTAGCTGATCATTCACAAAACTGCCTCTCAGCCCACTTTGAGGCACAGCTCTCAAACCAGTTACCAGAGGTTCCTTTTCTCTCTCTCCCCCCGCCCCCCCCTTTTTTTGTTTTCTTTTTGACTGATGGAAAAAATGTGTTTGACCTAGCTTCATTCTCACGGCAACTGAAGTATTTTACCTGAGATTCCTTTTCATTCACAATAATTACTGTGATGCTAATCAAGGACATGAAAAGTATTTACAAATACCCAAGCTTTCCAAAAACCCCCTCAAAATAGGATCTTAGCAAAAATCAAGATATCCTAAAATAGATAAATAAATACAAACAGTGCCATCAACACAATCTATAACTTTTTCAACCTCCTAGAAGTTTACACATTAGGTATAAGTTGTAACTTGTGGCATTTTATGGGATTTAGTGATACTTGTATTTATTAAACACATCTGTATTTATTTTTGTAGTATTCTTATCAGGTATGGAAACTATTTCCATTATTAAGGATAGGGAACTAAGACTCTGGGAATATAAGGATGGATTGGCCTGACCAAACGTAGAGGTCTGCAAGACAGAGCTAGTTTATCTTTGTTTTTATCCAAGGAACAAAGATAGGTTCTTCTAGGGAGTGATTCATTTGACCTGCTTTAGATGTCTGCTTTAGGATGGAACAAATACCCAGTGTTCCCACCCATTCCTCAGTTGTAAGAGAAATGGAGCTCTACACTGCAGACCTCTGCATTTGGTCAGATCAGTGCTCTTAGAATGTAGTATCTGTGGGTTGTAAAGAGGGATGAGGGTGTCTCCAAGTAACTTGTTATAAAACATCTTTAGTATATGTGTTTAAAGCTACCTGAGATGAGTCCTACCTGATGTCAGAAGCAAACTCTGCTGAAGAGATGCTACCCAAATGTTAATGCCTGAGATTTGCACCTCTTCTTTGAAATATCTTTCCTCCTTGTACAAAATTAATTCTGGTCTTATGTTGATATTCTTCAACTATTTTTCTCTGGATAGGAGGATAACATTATCAAGCAGTTAAGGCGTTCTATGCAGCTCCTCAGAAACTGCCTCTTTGAAAGTGAAGAATGCAAAGTAAGTATTCTCATACTGAAATAACGAGAGCACATTCAGTTAGTGAGTGAAGATCACAATTTTTTTTCTTCTACTCCGAAATGATTTTCAAGTTGGCTAAATTTAAGCTTGATATTAATGGCAAGAAATATTTCATTTCATTATTATTCCCACCTCCTAAGAATATTTCATATATACATTCATACTCAATGTTCATATTGAAATGTCATCTCACAAAGGTTTCAGATGGCTCTCATTCTCTGTATTCACTTCTGCTTTGCTTAAATCAGTAATTTCAATTTTCAAAGCATGTAATGGGAAAAATGGATGTGGAGAAAAGTGTGGGGCCGCAAGAAAGGCACGTAAGAGATACACTTCACATCTTAGAAAGTAGTTTCCTCTGCTTATTTCTTTCTCCTTTTTTCCTTTCCCTTTATGAAAGACAAAAAAAAGACTGAAAACCAAACCCTAGATAATAATTTACTATTTACTTCTCTTTGAGTAAAATTGCACTAATCCTGCAAGCCAAAATTTTAGTTTTGTCTTGATTTTTTTTTTCATCTTTTTTTTGCTCAGAGTCTTGCTTTGAATATCTTCTTCTCATTTCACTTTCTTTGTGGTTTTCTCTGTGCTTTTCAATTTCTTTCCTACTTCAGTTCTTCTGCCTACCTCTTTTTTCCATGAAGAAAATACTACATTACTTTTTTTATTATTCTTTCCTGTATTCTTTCTTTCTGATTGCTACATTTCCTCTTTCTTATTGCTGATACCTTTCACACATTTATTTCCATTTGCTCTTTCACAGTTTAATTTGTTTTGGCATTGTGGTATAACTTGTGCAACTTTTAGCAAATGCATTAGTGGAACTGCAAGATTTCCAGGCCTTCCAGAAGTACCCCTATTGAGGGCATGTGTTAGCATCCTTCTTATATACAGAACACCATGTAAATTATGGGCCTGAGTAAGCCATCTGTTTATCACTAAGGTCCCCATAATTAGGTTGTGCCATAATCTCAGATAATTGTGGAATTTTTTTTTTTTTTTTTTTTTTTTTTTGATCAGGGGTCTGCAGAGACAATTGCTCGGAGGAGAGAAGGAGGTTGCTGTTGATAACTGAAGTTTTCTATTATTTGCTCTGTAGAACTGAATTCTTTCATTTCCATGCTTTTTGAGTTCCAATAACTAGTTTAGTTGGAGTAGAATAAAACATTAAAATAGGCAGTTCTTGAACAATCACAATTGGACTGAATAAATCTTTACTTTCGTTTGCATGTGTCAGTAATTAAAGCATGTGTGCTGATTTTTGACTAGGATAGAGATAATTTCATTAGTGTTGAAATGAGGGTGTCAGTTCTCTCTGTACAATCTTTTAAAGCAAACTAATGGGACACAATAAGATAAAAATATGCTTTTCTCACCCTATTTGTATTTAATTTACAAAGTATTTAATAGTATAATAGTTTAAATTCTTCCTCATGTCCTTGTAGATGGCAGCACTCAAAGCTCATCTTGTTCCTGTTCTGCATTCCCTATGGCCGTGGTTTTTAACAGATGATGACTCAATGCAAATAGCTCTGCATTTGCTTTGTGTCTACACTGCAAACTATCCTGCAGGTATGAGAGTCACTCTGTGATGTAATACATGAAAATATTTAACCAGAATAATTAAGACAGAAAAGCATAATAAAGGGAAAATAATGTTTATTATTACCCTAAAAGGAAAGTATAAAAGCACTGGTTCATCAAAGTCTATCAAGAGTTTTGATTTTAATATAGTCAAGACTTTTGTTCAGATCCTGTTTTCGTCTGTTGGATTTGGCAAGAGTACAATTGTATTAAAGGATTAAATAGCATGTAATTCAAACCATTATGTTTGAAGGTTACACTGAAAGTCCTGCCAAACTGAATAGTTTACTGTAGAAATAATACTCTAGAATTCTCTCACAAAAGAACAGTGTATCAGTACTTTATACAGATTGTACTTCAGCAGTTATTGAGAACAGTCTGGTTTTGAAATCCTCAATAATCTAATTTAATTCTGTACTAAATTTCTTCCATTTATTTATGCATTGGGCTCAGTAGCTTTTATTTGTATATTTTTTCAGAAGAATTCTCTTCTTCATTTGAGGAAACCCTTTTTTTCCATTGATGAATAATTATCCTTACTGCTAGAAGCCTGTTCTTTTTTCTAGTACAAATTTGTCTCATTCCATATCCTGGTTATTGACTCACATAATGATTTGCTGGTGGCTTGAAGATATATATAAGTATCTGTTGATTTCCCCTTGTCAAGATACCATAAGAGTTAGCATGGTTAAAATATATTCGCTGAACAGTCTCTGAGCTTTTTTACCCTTTTTTTAAGTTAATATCTCTAGACCTTAAATGAGCTTGCAATGTTTTTTTTCATAAAAACATTTTTTTAATATGGAGTGAAGAAAGGTCAAATATGTACTAGTCAACCACAGGATAGAAAATTAAGATATAATGTCCTGTGATGTACTGGAAATCAAGCTAAAGTCCTGATGATCTTTCTTGTTCCTTAACTCTGAGTGACTCTAGGCTGCATTTTTATTTTCCTTGCTAATACGGGCAAGTGGTTTTAGATTAATCATATTTTTTCTTTCTGTTCAGAATAGTTGGCTTCTGAGGTGACCCAAACTTACCTGCTCTGAACTGGTTAACCACTTCCCCTTCATGTAGTCAAGACAAAGAAATGCATTTAAATGTTTGTAACAGTTAAAAAACAGTCTCATTTTTATTTAGTTCTGCCATGTAAGAAGTTAACTGTTGTTGCAGATGGCAAATGCCACTAAATGAAAAGGTATACATGCATATTTGTGCACAAACATCGTGTTGGTAACTTAATTGTTCCCTGCCTATTTATTAATTTGAGCTTGTGGCTCTGTAGCACAGGATTTTGCATGCCGCTGTGATACAAGATAATGACAGATGCACACAATGCTTTTATTTCTCAGAAAAATATTTTAGGAAAATTAAACCTTTCAGATATATAGAGACCTCTTTTTCTTCTTCATCTCTTCATTTTCTTCATCTCTTCAGAGATGCAGAGTCCCTTCAGATTCTGTGGCCAAATAATTGTATAATGCCTTAGATACAATGTTCCAGTTTTTAAGGAGGATTTCCTGGACCGAGCAACGGCTTCTCTTTAACAGCAGAATCACCTCTTAGAACAACAAAACAATAGACGCCTACTCCAGTAAACTGCCACAATCAGGCACGTTTCAATTCAAAGCATGTTGCATTGGCTTCACTGTGGTACAAAGAAAAAAAAAAAGGACAAATCCTTTCAAAAGGATCTCAGTCTTTGAGCTGTTAGACTACTCTTTCTATAGGTTTTTTTTTTTTTAATGTATATGTGCATTTGTCACGATAAACGTGTCATTTCTTTAAGGTTGTGCTTCACTTTGTTGGGCCAGTGGTGGACAATCATCACTTCCCTCTGCACGAAGTGCAGCTGGCAATTCATTAATGCATAACATCTTGAAATTGGCTTCCCAAGTGTCCAACGATAACAGCTCAATTCAGCAGGTGGTCTTTTGTCTTCTTTCTAACCTTGCTCTGTCTCATGACTGTAAAGGCATTATTCAGAAGGTAAGTAAACAATATTCTTGATTTTAGCAATGTTATGGATGCATTTTCCTTTTTTGTAAACCCTCATATTTCCATAGGGGTTGTCTTGTGATTGTACAGAGATGCTTCTGCAGGAATCAAAACCATTGTGTCTTCTCAATCAGTTGTGTTACTGTTCCCTAAGTGCAGTGTGTAATTTGGTCAGGTTCATAGTCTGGACAGAAACAGCATATGGAACTACACGATTTTTGCTAGAGCTTTTTATAACCCCCCAGTTTCAGTGGGGTGTAAAATTTTAAAAACCTATATATATTGATACAATCCCTACTGGATCATGAAAGTGAGCGTACAGTAGAACAAACTGCATGTGAATAAACAAGAAATTAAACGTTGTATAAATCATTAGGTATACTGTGTAAAACATAATGTTTATAAAAATTACAGTTTTAGAGAAGGGGTCCTACATGTCAGTAATTGGCTGTTAGGTAGAAATCTATTCTTATTATACAAATGTAAGTACTGTCTTTTCCCTTTTTAATTTGTATATTGAATGATCCTTACTCTGTTTTATAAAATGTTCTTTGAAAAATCTGTTTCTTTTAAATTTAACTTCGATCGCTTATATTCAACACCTTGAGACAAGAGGTGAAGCCATGTAGAAAATCAACTATAGTGGTGACATGATAAAACTAGCTAACACAACAGAAATTATAAAAAGTGTGTGTGTTTTTAGCATCTTATATAGTAGTTTAATAATTACATTTATAATAATTTAATAGTAATTAGGACCTAACTACCTGTTAGAAAAGTCAGGGGGAAATATGATTTTTTGTCATGTTAATTATGTAAAATCTGGTCATACAGTTACAAAATTGCTGATACTTAAACTTTTTGATAGAAACGAAGAGTTTGAGATCTTTTCTATGGTAGCTGTTCTGTTCTGTGAATTGTTTTGGCTTTTGCTGTCTTCAGAGTTTCACTCTAGTGTGATAGTACTTAGTATTCATTCTCTCCTGAGCTCTGATTTCACAAGTGTAAGCAATGCTGAATTACTAATTCCATCTGCGAAAATTAAATTACCAAGGTAATACTCATGTGAAGAAAACCACAATGAGTTTGTATGCTGGATTGTTTGTTTTTGACCAGCTGCCTGTATGTGTTGTCGAGGGTCAGCAAGGTTGGGAATATTTAGTCAGGACTTTTTTCATCATAGGTGTGTTACTTTAGAACATCTCCCTCTTGCAACAGGGGAGAAGATTTTTCACCTGCTCAGAACCTCCTTAAAATGGAAGCAAGCCCTGAGATTGGGAAGTGGTGGTGTATGCTATATCTTCACACAGATCTTATTCTTCAAAACTTACAAAAATAGAGGACATTACTATGGTAGTCAGCGAAGGGGAGTGGTGGTACTATAGATCCTTATGAGTCTCTTCCAACTTTAGATATTCTATGATTCTGTTTAACATTTTCTAAGAACACAAGCAATAATAAATAAGGAATCAAAATACATTACCTAAGTAGTGCATTGATTCAGTTAAATTATTTCTAGCTTATTTTTGTGCACAAATGCTAAGTGCAAAACAAAAAGCTTATGTAGTGGTGGGAATAAGCCTTTAATAATATGTATTGTGTTGGGTCAACTTTTATGTATCTACGCTGCATAAACTATTACAGACGAAAATGTATTTTACCATACTAACTTTTTAACCGAGGTGTAGATTCTTCTTCATATGTCATTCTTTCGAAAATCCGTGACTAATAATGGATTCCCTGAAATATGCAAATGAAATATTAGTACTAGGTTTTGGTCAATTATGCAGATTAGAAGATCAAACAAGAGTGGACAAACCATGGAGTACTAAAAATTCTAACATCCTTTTTCTTCCTTCTGACAGAGTAACTTCCTGCAGAACTTTTTGTCTCTTTCATTACCAAAAGGAAGTCATAAAAATCCTGGTAATGTGTCTACTCTTTGGCTAAAGCTGCTGCTGAACATATCTTTTGGAGAAGATGGACAGCAGATGATCATGAAGATAAATGGTTTTTTAGACCAGATTGTGGAAATGTGCCAATACAAACACAAGAGCAGCCAACATCTAGCACTTCTTATTCTACATAACATGTGTTTTAGTCCAACTAATAAACCAAAGATATTAGCTAATGGTAAGTATCTAAAGGGTATACAAGCTATTTTACTCTGAGAATATTGCGTCTTCCAGAATACCATTTTTTCATTGCAGTTTGGGTTACTAGTTCGCTCAAGTCATGGATGTCGAGACAAACTATTTTGTCTTCTGTCATGTGCAGAAAACATTTGTGATAATGATAGTTATGTTCATGGCATATATATTTAATGTAACAACATGCACAGAACTTTTTTCTTCGTTGTTTGTAAAAGGCATGCTTCTTTCCCCATTTAACTGCAGGGGGAATGCTTCTGTCTTTGTTATAAGTTCTCAGCAGGTTTCCCATAGTGTCCATGCTTTTCATTTTTTCCCAAGACACTGATTTGCTGCCTTAATTAAGCATACATTATTCAGTTACTAATCTACGGCTTGTTATTATGACATGAACAAGCAAACTTGAGTCTGGCTTCAGAGCAAGGCTGGGAAATGAAGGCACTTAGAGTGGTGTGGCAAATATTTCAAATCATCTGCATAATAAGTACTAAGGAAAATAGAAACATCTTAATTTCCATCCTGATGTGGCTACTGGGACGTATAAAACAGTTTCATGGCTTACTCGGTCCCTATGCATAGCTGATGGCTGTACATAATGTGCATGCTTTATTACTGATGGCTTAATTTTTTAGCATTGCTTGGTTTTGTTTCGCTATATCCTTTGTAACACTTCTTTCAGTGTAGTCTGACAATTTTGTGAGCATATTTAAATCTGATTAATCTGCTAATAAAGTTTCTGTAATTCTTCTGCCATACCAATACTTGTCATAGAAGTGTACTCCAAGCATCAAAATACTGAGATCTGTAAATATATTTGTGTGCTTTTGATGATATCTTCAAGATGCATGTGGGCTTTTATTTTTCTCATTAGATAAGGCGATTGCAGTACTGTCTGCCTGTTTGGAAAGTGACAATTGTGCTGTTCAGAGGATAGGAGCAGCTTCGCTTTGGGCTTTGCTTCACAACTATCAGAAGGTTAGTATTTGAGAAGTACTTGAAAAAATTGTAATGCTACTTCTATTATGCTGTAAACAATACAGTAATCCTTCAGTAAATAAAAATAAAGTTTACAGTAGCAGTTCCATTTTATTATTTTAATCACACAGCTGCTCAGGCTACGTGGTTAGACAGCATGGTAAGGCAGCAGCTTGTCCTCTGTGATTTGTGACAGCTTATATAAATGCAATCTGTATGATGATATAGTCATATGCTAATTCTAAAATTCCTACATCTCATGTTCTGCTGAATTATTGTAATTTTCTAAACTTTGCTGTTAAAATGTGACCATGTGGGGAAGAAAGTCAAGTCATTGTATTTTGTGTGTTTGTGTGTCCTACAGGCAAAAGTGACTTTGAAGAACCCATCAATAAGGAGAAGAATAGATGAGGCTTATTCTTTAGTGAAGAAAAGTAAGTCTTACTTCCAACTAATGCCAATTCTGTATTTTTTCCATCAGGTAGTTCATCAATTTATATCATCACAATAAGATTTTGTTGTGCTACAGGTTTTTGAAGGATACTTTTGTCTCTCAAATCATGAGTAGTAATACCGTTTATGGTTAGGCATCTTATAAATACGGATATAGAAAAATGCCTCTTGGTTAACAAATTATTAATAAGACCTCAGGTAATTGCTAAGGTCAGTTTGTAAGAATAGGTCTGATTGTGCTTGCAGCAACTTCCAACTGATGCCAATTCTGTGTTTTTTCCATCAGGTAGTTCATTAATACATTTCAATTTATATCATCACAATAAGATTTTGTTGTGCTACAGGTTTTTGAAGGATACTTTTGTCTCTCAAATCATGAGTAGTAATACCGTTTATGGTTAGGCATCTTATAAATACGGATATAGAAAAATGCCTCTTGGTTAACAAATTATTAATAAGACCTCAGGTAATTGCTAAGGTCAGTTTGTAAGAATAGGTCTGATTGTGCTTGCAGCAAAATGCTTTCTTTGCACAGTACAATTTTGTGTTAACTCTTAAGATTAGAAATTCTTTAGATAAGAAAAATGCTTCATTTAGCATTGACTTGGCTTAACAGTGCTAAAACTCACTGTATACAGCCACATAGAGAAGGCATCAGAGCAGATCATTGTGCCAGTCTTAAAATAATGTACCATCAGCTGACTTTCTGAAAGCTTGAGTTTTTTCTGAACATAACTGTAAGTAACTGAACATAACTATGGTTTGAATAGCTTTTATACGATAAGTTGCTATGTTCAGCTGAAGAGCATTCATTTTGAAAAGATGTTCAAACACTCATCTGTAGCTTGAGCTTCAGTAGCTAATAATGGGTTTATTGGTTGTTAGTCACATCACGACTCTGATCTTGCAAAAATATGCAAATGTCTCATTTTAAGCCAATGAGTTTAATTTTAATTAAGTTAATTTAAATTTAATTGCTCTATAGATGTACTCCAATAGGGTTATAAATTGAGGGGCATATAACACCGAGTTTCAGTAATATTTTGCACAATAAAATTGTTACAAAATTTCTGCTTACGTTGAACACCGTTTGTTAGTATCCTAACAAGGAGGAGATGTATTTTTGCTAGAACATCTAATGTTAATTCTTCTACCTGTACTGTCACCCAAATCCATTGATTTTGTCAATGTACTGTTGTTTCAAATTCATCCTTTACTAAGTCATCCATTAAACATAACATAATGCAACATTTCATATACTGATAGTGTGTTAATAAATAGATAAGTTTGTATTGTTCTTTAAAGTATAACTACCACTGATCAGAGACTTTTTAAATTATTATGTTGAACCAACAAAGTACAAATATGAAGCTTTTACAGACTAGCACCTTGTAACATTGAGCCCCATACTACTACTTTGGAACATAAAATCCTAGACTGAAATAGATTTTTTTTTTTTAAATTCAATAAACGTTTAAATATCACAATACTGAGTAGAAAAGATTTTGTGCCACTGTAAGTTACAGTTTACTGTCATGTGAAGTTGTCATCTATATTTTCCTGCATTAAGGTTCTCAACTAGCCTACCATAGTGAAGCTTTGATCACTTTATAGTGATAATTGGGCTAAAATGGTAGGTTGTTCTTCTAAGTGCAAGTGAGGGAGTTTTTCAACGTGGCTGTTCTTATTTTACATTCCCCACTTAGTCTTACCCCAGGAGAAGTTTGGGAAGAACAAGACGTGACCTCATTGTAACACAGCATAATCGAAAGGCAGTTTTTACCTTTTTTTGTCACAACTAAGTCGGGGCTTGGAAAGCTGTGAAATTCTAGCCTTTTTAAAAAACAAAACAAAAAAACTGACTTTGTAACATAAGGTATTGGTTTGCTACTCGTGTGTGGGGAGGTGTGTATATATACATATACACACACACACACACACCACCCCCCCCCCTCTATATAGGTTAACCTCTATATATAGAGGTTAAGATCATAAACTAGCATGAATTCCAGCAGGGTATTTGATGCAATCTTTGAAAAAGTAATTTTTTACTAAGAATCAACTAGAAATTCAGATCTTGTTTTTTCTTCTATTTTTTTCCTTTTAGCTACTCCACAGACAGAAGAAAATGAGCTACATGCCTACTATTTAAAATGCTTAGAGAATATAGTGCAGCTTCTTGATTGTTAATGATAATTAGATGACTTCTTATGTTGAAATTAGACAGCTTATTCAATGGGAGCTTGGAATTTAAAGAAAACACTTCTAATTCATGTATCTGTGGCAGCAGCATATATGCAATAGAAGAAATTTATGAAGCCTTGGAGGAAGGAATTCATCACTTCGAACCAAAGGAATTGCACTAAATGTGGTTCAGACTATTTGTACTGTAATCCCAATGGGAAATTATAATGAGGCTACTATATGTACACAAAAGGAGGAATGTACAGAGAAAAAGGATGTGAAAAATCAGTAATTTTCTTAAATTATATATTGAAATTGTTACTGTAAAGTATTAAAATTGCTGTTTTGGATTGGTCTTAATAAAGGGCTTTTAACTGAGATCAACATTTGTTGTTGGTGGTTTTTAGTTTATAATGTTGCACATGTGCAGAGTGCACACTTAAATTCAAGAACTGATAACACTGGCAGTCATGGTGTTGTTACACCTATTAGGTATAGAACAGCAAGGTGTGTGTTTTAGTTTTGAAGGCATTTTCAGTTCAAACTGCTGTATCTTTTTAAAATGATTACAACTGACAAAGCTCTCAATTACAGGTGACAGTTATGTTAACTTAGTATTTTATTCAGGATACGAAGGGTGTGCATCAGTTGGAGTGAGTTAGGTTACAACAGTGTAGAAAATATTGGAGACACAATGTGTTGGTTTCCAGTTTATAAACACTTCAAATCTTTTCCTTGAGGAAAAAAAACACAGTCTGTTATTCAGGCCTGTGTTTTCTTTGAACTGCTACTATGTAACTTTTGTCATAAGTTTTTCAGTATTCTGTGATTAATGAGTTTGAGAGGAAATACATTGATGCCTGAGCACATGACAGTTTTGCTGAATGTGCTTCTGGAATATCTAGCAGGGTGTTTAGATTTCCCTCAACACATACAGGTTTTGTTTTATGTCAGGGACAGATAAAAGTGAGCAAATAAAAAGCAAAACTTGGGTAACATCTCTAAAAAAAATGTTGTAGCAAGGCCATGTTTGCCTGTAATTAGCCTTTTCTTCCTAAGCAGGTGAGGAAAGCATTTTCCACTGACAGAGGGGACTTTTTTTTTGTGCAATGCCTTTAAATAATGTGTGACTTGATATTACTCAGCTGACATAAACGTGATGTTTACAGTGGCTGGATTAAATCATTACTAGAAAAGTAATTATTGGCTAACCAAATAAAAAGCAAGGACAGACCAGCAGAGCCTGATTCTTTTCTACTTGATACGTTGCATAATAATTGTAACTTGCAAAGTGGTTATTAAATGCTGTCATGCTCATCCCGTAGTATTGCAGAAGAGTAAGCTGCAGGAGAACGGCAGGAGAACACTGGCAGCAGACAGCTCTGCAAGTCGGCGTTTGCTGTCTGGGCTTGGTGGTGGGGTCTCTTCCCTTCAGACAGGCTAGTAAGTGCTGGTTCTCTTCAGAGACTTATGTTTTGGCATACATGACCCTGACGATTTCTCTCAAAAATTGGGTTGTAAGTCAAAATGAAGATTGTTTCCCAGTTTGCTTTCTTTTTTGAGGCACACAAAAAATAAGAGCACTAAATGCCAAATTAATTGCAATGGAAGTAACCACTCAGCAAGGATGGTGAGGGCTCTTTCCAAGTGTAGAAATACACATGGTGAAAAAGGGCTGCATAGTTGAATGACTTCATTAAATGCAAGTACAATACAATAAAAACATAGAAGGATGCCTGTCTTATATTAAACATTTATATTTTACTAAGTTGTACAAATTCTTGAAGAAATTACTCATATTGAAAAATCCAGATAAATTGCTAATATACTTGTTACAGTAAGCCTTAATGCAAGTGCTGTGTTTATCTCAACGTAAGCATAGATCTAACCTCTATTTTCTCAGTATTTTGCAACATTTTACAATTGTGGGAAGCCTCTGTAGCGATGGCATAAGTAAATATTTATCTTTGGTGATATATCATACTGGTGAAATAAAAAATTAATTTTTAGCCTCTAAGGGCATGTACATCAAATCTCTGTATTCACTTTCGGTACGAAATCTTCACAGAATACTTAAAATTTTTCTCCTTCAAGATTAAGGAAAGAATTTATTTAATGAGCAGCACTCTCTTCATCACCTTGTCCCTCAAAAACTGGGGACAGAGCAGCTGCATCCTCTTTCCCTGCATGTTAATAAAATGTTGGACTATAAAACATAAGTGACCCTATAATTTCTGTTCACTGGCACTTAGACTAGTGCAATTAGCCTCATAATAACCTTTAGTCTTAATAGTTTTCATGAAAGAAAATTAAAATACTGAGACCTCATTCACAGTTACACTTAATTTCAGAATTTTGGAGATGCACCTGTCTTCAAGGATGGGGTATTTGTCATGTTTGGGATTTCAAAAAAATTAAATCTGAAAAATACCTTCAAATTTTAAGAGCGGTAAAATCGTTTCTTATCCCACAGAGAAAAGTGCAATTAAAGTGGAGATGGATTCCCTGAACAGACTACAGAATTTAAAAGGTAATATTCAGCATGCATCTAGTTTCTATAATAAAAGGCATGGCCATGCAAGCTAGGAGTCTCTTGAAAATCATTATCCAGGAGAACACAATTACCATTTGCACTAACTGCAGCTATATTATGCTCTCACTCGGTTGCTTTGTCTTTTGTGATTAGTTTGTAATCAAGAAAGAAGTTATTTTATATTCAAAAGAGATACGTACTACATCCACTACAAAAATCCACCACAAATGAAGCTTTCAGATTTTTCAAGACTGATGTGTCATCTATTGTGTGTTCAAAACTTTCAAAGAAATAATTTTTGCTTGAGCGGTAAAAAATTGTGGATTAAACTTAAATCACTTAGTTTTGATTGTATGTGTATTCATGCAAATAGAGACATTAAGTCATGACTTGGTTTCAAAACTTTGAGTAATAAATTTCAAGCCTACTTGAAAATTCTCAGAAAAAGATCTCATTTATGCAAAAGGCACTATTTATTGCTTTTCCAGCAATTTGGAACTATGGATTCTCTTCACTCAGGCATAGCAACTACAGAGCCCCTGGTGGAGTTTTTCATCGGTTTTGCCCCATGTCAAACTTCCAAACTGCAGCAATTATGGGCTCCTGGCTTCAGTGGAATGATGCAGCAGTACTGGCCAGACTGGGAAGGGGAACTTTCTGAGACTTTGGCCCGGCTTTATATAAGGACTTACCTTCACAGTAAAGTAGAAGCTACTGTGACAGCTTCTCAAATCTGATTGTCCTTCAGAGAGGTGTTTTACTGTCTTCTAGGGAAAAAAAAAACAAACACTGGTTAGCAGACACTTGAAGATTGCTGTCAACTAGGGAGTCTAGGGACACTCTACAGTTCTCTTGAGGTTTCTTCTGGTTGAAATAAAAAAAAATGCCATCCTTCCAAGTCTTTCCCCCAGGTGGCCTCCTAGAGTAATCATTTACAGCTACACTGCTGTGACAGCAGTCATACTACCATTACTGTAGAAGAGAGAATTGTGGTAAATATAATTTCACAACACCTTGATCCTTTTATCTCATCTTTTGGCTCCTGGGCCACACCATAGAAGGTGTGTGTTCTTCCTTTATGACCACCTCCTCATTTTTTGGTGATTACCTGACCTCATTCAGCAGTTCTGTGTGGCCCCTGGGCATTCCCAAGAGCTGGTTAGTCTCCCTGTTTTGTAACCCAGAAGGTTTGGCCCCATGGACGAGGGTCAGGCTGTGCCCTCTGGCCTCAGTGCCAGCTACTCTTGGGCATGTAATTTTTATAGCTGGTGTTTTAGGTGCTGAAGACTAACAGTAGGAGTTTTCAATTCAGTTGGTATTCAGCTGCATCTTCCCCCTGGCTGCCCTATTTCAGCCACCGCAATCTTTTCAAGGAAAAAAAAAAAAGTACGAGGTGAAAGCTGGCCCCATTTTCACTGGAAGAGGAGATTCTCGCAGCACCTGCTTTCCTGCATCCGAAATGGGGAGCGTCAGTCTGTGTTGGATTTACAGCAAACGAACTTGCTTAGGCTCAGTAATGTACTTATTCTTCATAAACACATGGATCGATTCTGAACGCTCAGCCTGGACCGCATGTTGTCTTTCCAGCTTCTTGATTGCTTGCCAGCAAGACTACGAACCTTTACATTTTCAGATCCTGGTCCTTAGGGTTTAGTATATGTGTGCAAGTCTTTGTTGAGTAGAAATGTAATTTTAATAGAAATCAATACTGCATATGATTTTTGCATATGATTCTACAATTTTATTCAAAAGTGAAGTATTGCGAGGCAGTTGGGCGCTAGAAGGGCTTTTAATAAATATGTGATAGAGCTGTTTGAAAACAAGCTCATTTTTGTTCCACCAGTTTTTTACATTTCCTTTCCACAGCAGCTGAAAATAATCTACTTTATAAAGAAATCTCAGGAGACTCATAAATAGATTTTTATTAATATTACTTATTAATATTTTCATGGGTTTTATTTTATATATATTAAAGTTGTTTTTTTTTTTCCCCCAGAGAATTCAAATCAATTTTTAGTAACTTTAATGTTAGTGTTTTTCTGCTTTTATTCTGCCTCTTTTCCTCTGTTTTGGATTACTTACTCACCATTATTGACATTTTATATCCTGTAATGCATTATTTAGGGACTAAAACATGTAAGTTCTTGTGGACAGCAAGTCAATCAAATACATGAATCTTGAATTTGATTTGGCATTTCTTCTCAATATGAACAATTATGCCAGTGAGATTATCATCCATTATTGTCGAATTATTTTGTAATATAATGTTGATTTTTTAACTTCATAGAACCAAACACATTTTAATATTTCTTTTTGTTTTATTGAAATGTACATTAATTATTACATTTTTTTAATTGCTCTCTATTTTTTCTAAGCTGCATCCATTGTTTCTTTACTTCTACCAACATTCATGTGATTAAGACCAACGTTCCTGTGATTTTATTGAAATCTCAGAGGATAACAGTAATTCCTGCCCCCAAATGCAACTGATGATTTTCAAGAAGCCAACAGGTATCTGTTGGTCTGTGGTTTTACAAAGCATGGGTGATGCAGACAAGTCCCTTTTGGCATTTTCAAACTGTCAGAGATATGCCTCGGCAAAAAATCTGAAAACTTTGCTAACCGTGCTCCTTTCGCTTGCAAATCCAGCACAGGAAATTATCACACTAAATAGTTGTGGCAAATATTTATACAAAGATGTTTTATTAATGCTAAATTATGCATATTAACAATGGTACAATGTTCGAAGTACTTTACCCAAATGTGTTACTGCATGCAGTGCAAGATTTCTTTGTTTATGTTGGAATACTTGTTTAATAAGCATTTTGTAGT